CCTGGACTCGCCAGTCCCAAAGCTTGTTCCATATCCTGCTCAAGAACTTGCCTGTTGGGTGCCTGGGTGGCTCAGTTGGTTAAGCGACTGCCTTCCGCTCAGGTCATGATCCTGGAGTCCCGGGATCGAGTCCCGCATCGGGCTCCCTGCTCAGCGGGGAGTCTGCTTCTCCCTCTGACCCTCCCCCCTCTCATGTGCTTTCTCTCTCTCAATTCTCTCTCTCAAATAAATAAATAAAATCTTTAAAAAAAAAAAAAGAACTTGCCTGTTACTAATTCCGTCACTTTGCCCATCTACTCGGTGTCTCTGCTCTTGCACGTACCCTTGGACACACACACCTACTCAGGAACGAGGCCGTCTGACTGGTATTGCTGGGAGCCCCTAGGAGAGACATTCAGCTAACAAAATGACAGCACTGGGGCTTCTCAGAGGGGGCTGTTTGCAGTCTCTCCGTGGATAGAGAGTGTATAGTCCCTAAGAGCCCCTGGGAACTCTATGCATAAGAGAAATTGCACCCTCTCCCCCTGTAAACAAGCACCCTGGATTCGTTGTCCAAAGCAACTTCTTCCCGCTTTCCTCCTATCCCACATCCCTTCCCACTGTTTCTTTTTTTTTTTTTAAAGATTTTATTTATTTGACAGAGAGACACAGCGAGAGAGGGAACACAAGCAGGGGGAGTGGGAGAGGGAGAAGCAGGCTTCCCGCGGAGCAGGGAGCCCGATGTGGGGCTCGATACCAGGACCCCGGGATCATGACCTGGGCCGAAAGCAGACGCTTAACGACTGAGCCACCCAGGCACCCCCTTTTCCCACTGTTTCTTAACTCTGCTCTAAGGACAGAGGAACTCTCCCTGGACTTCAGTCCCTATGACCTTGCATGGGTGGCCAAACTCTGCAGCTCCCTTGGCTCGAATTTCATTTCCACCCCTTCGTGCAGAGCGAGCTTGTGGCTCAGGAGGGTGGGAAACTGCACATGGAGGTACTCTGCAGCTGCTCCCAGCTGCTAAGAAAGGCCAGTTTCTCCTGATCGGAACCGAAAGTTCCTCTGTTCCGTCTGCCTCTTCAGTAGACTTGGAAAACAAGGCAATGATCGGTAAAGGCCAGAAAATTTTAAATTTTGATGCAGGCGGGGTGGGGAGGAGAGGGGCAGAGAACCAACTCCTCAACTTCAAGCTGAGTGATCTTTGACCTTCTTGGATGCTATCGAGTAAAATAATTTTTTTTTTAAGATTTTATTTATTTGAGAGAGAGAATGAGATAGAGAGCATGAGAGGGGGGAGGGTCAGAGGGAGAAGCAGACCCCCTGCTGAGCAAGGAGCCCGATGCGGGACTCGATCCCGGGACTCCAGGATCACGACCTGAGCCGAAGGCAGTCGCTTAACCAACTGAGCCACCCAGGCGCCCTCGAGTAAAATAATTTAATGATACTCTTCTCCACTCAAATTATCCAGTATTGCTAAAGAAAACACATCATAACGTAGGAAAGAAATGTGCTGGCACTTTTAGAAATGTGGAACACTTACTATCTTGCCCCAAAATTCGAGATGAAATGTTACAGAAAATAAAGTGTTATACATACATATATAGGTGTGTGTACACGTGTATCTTCAATACTTCATAAATAGGTATCTTTTGTCTTACAAAAAAAAAAAAAAAAAAACCCCACCACAACACACCTTCTTGTTGGCACAGAAATACACAGGGAGAGCGGGGCCTTCTTACTCAATTCTGAGCTCACCTCCTCTTGTACTACAACAAAGGCATTTGACTTCCAGAAAAGATTTTCCAGAGTTTTAAAGCAAATGCGACAATTCCCTACTTTCCTTTATGAACCTCCCCACCCATATAATGGAAATGCAGACTGTTCATTGCGAAGCTTTGCTTTCCCATGACACACAAGCCACAGACATTTGTTGTCCTGCTATCGCGTTTGCTAAATTAAGTAATGTGGAATGTTTTTTTAAAAACTCCATCAGGGTGGAGTTTCACACGCAGAAGACTCCACTCAAGCATCCTCTATTATCATTTACAAATTTCCTGGAATCTAAACACCTGCCCTTTTTCATTTGTTCTAAGAATATTAGGACATTTTAAAACAATTCAGAGTAACTTCCTTTCTTAGAGATTTTGAAAACACTCACTTTCTTGTCTTCGCTACAAATCTGTTCAAAGGAAGAAATTGATTATACTAGTGGTGGGGGGTGGGGTGCAACTTACAAAGTACTTTATGTTTTCTCCCAGTGAGGGAAATTTACCAAAACATCCCAACCCTGGTCTCCTGGTTGTTTTCATTCTCAAACTCATTCTCCATGGCATTTTCCTCCTATTTGCTAACAACACACTTCTCCCTTCGTCTGGACAGTAGGGGGCACTGCCACAGTGAACTATTATGGTCAACTGAGATTACACCCGGCAAAAAAACACGGCTGGACATAGAGGATTTTCCCATGTCAATGAGCATCTAAAAAATATTTTACACATTTTTTTCTTCCATAATTCACTTCAGGGTGCAAACACTGGAGTTTTCTTTCTGTTCATGTTGGGGGGAGGGAGCAGGGGGAGTCAGCAGTATGTGGTAGAAATCCTCTTACAAATTTGAGGTTGACCTAGGAAGGTCTCACCGAATCCCTAATTGTAAATACTGGCTAAACACAAGTAGTAACGTGCACTTAATATAGGTTAAGTAGTATTCCGTGCAAGAGTTTTTTTTTTCATAGTCTTAGGCCTGTCTCACAAACATCAAACTCCCAAGTTCAGAGCCAAGATGAAAGAGAACTGTGGCAACATTTCATTAAATAATCGCATAATCCAGAGGCTTCATAGGTGGAGGGCTTTTTTAAAAAATAAGTTTTGTATGTAATTGAGTTAAACTTAAATTTATGCATCCAATAAAAACCACTGCAAATGGTGAAACAAAGACACTGCTCCGACACTTAGAAAATTAAATTCACCAAACCATGAAGTCTACCGTGTAGTTATTTTTGTAACCACCATAAATTGTTTTATAGCACTCCTCTGCTGGAATAAACAATCTGAGGAGAAATTTACTTTACAGCGTGCATGTCGTTTCCAAAAGAAGAGAGTGACCTAAAAGTTTACGACTCTTTCCTTTCTTCTTCTTTTTTTTTTTGTTAGTACTGTTTCTAGTTACCTTGAAACCTTCCTTCTCTTCCGTGAGCTTAGAAAGGCTCACGGAAAATAAGATCCAAGTCTGTAGATATCCTGCGCCCTCATATACTCATTTCTGGAATAAGAAGAAACAATCGTACTTTGTGGAAATAAGGACTATATGGCAAAATGAAAATAAAGGGTTTTAGTACGAAATATTTCACCGTATTTAATGGCACCTCAGAGCCAAATGTTGTCTTGGACCTTTCGTGAAGTTGCCTTGAAATGTGTTCCCTCACAGCACTATATGAGGCCCAATTCAATGCAAACTGCTATAGATAAGAGTTTTAGGGGTCTTTAATCACTTCTTGTGTCCTTGATGGAAAAAACAGAGCTGCCTTTGTGCTATAAAGAAGGACCTGTTGTTTTCAGATTCAACAGGTCATTTTTATAAGAACTTCCCAGAGGATACAACATAAATGACAGAAACACAAGGCGATTTTTTTAAGTGGCTGATGATTTTAAATGATATATATTCTATATTAAGGGAAGGTTGTTTGTTTTTCTTTCCAACAAATGGAAAGTTACTGTTTTAAAAGTGTTTAATGTTTGAACTTGACTTTTAGGACCAAATGTTTTCTCTTAAGTTGGCTTACTGTAAATTCGACTCCCGAAATCAATCTGAGGGTGTACCTGAGGAGCCTCAAGTAAATAAACTTGTCAGATCATGTTCATTTCTGCTTGGGAGATGAATTATTTATTTAGAGGACTTTTGAAATGTATCTAAATTGTGCTGTCACTTTTGTAATGTTCTGTAAAAATAACGAAGAGAATGCATACTTAATCAACAAGATAAAACTTTCTAAAATGAAAATTCTGGCCACATGACTTTTGGTTGTTCTCAGAGTAAAGAAAACAGGCCAATATTTTATGGCAAATAAAATCCACGTGACACCAGGATTTATTGGAGTTTGGCTGATTCCATTATTAAAGGTGGTCTAAATTTGAGAAGACTGGCAAATTTAAGATTAAGAACCGAATCAGACTTGTTTCCTAAACTTTTATTAGGAGTCTTTTTCACAATGTAACCAAGTGTCCCTATTTTTCCCCCTTTTCTTCTTTTAAAGAAGGAAAAATTGGCTAACTCGTGTGTGAAGAGAATTGTTTGAAGACCTTTAGGAAAGTTTCAGCCAGGCCAAAAACACAAGGTACTATTGGCTTTAAATTTAGCAAACACTTTCCAAAACTCATTCCTCACCACAAACAAAAGTTATTATCCAGGAAGCCCTTCCTTAGAGCGCATTGTCTGGTTGCTGGCACTTGCTGGAACACGTATTTCCCAACTACCTAGACTCTGGTTCTTGACACTTTTACTGAGTCTCGATATTACTTACCACCTAGGACAAGGATCTGGCAAAAGGTCAAGGTAAATGAATACTTGATGGCAAGACTGCAGGAGCCCTGGGGGGATGGTTCAGCAGATAAAGAAGAAATAAAAACAGGCGCTCTGGGGAACGCATGGACTAGGCTGCCAGGCTAATAATCGACGAACAGGTTTCTCACTTAGGAGGTACTCCCCACCCCCGCTTTAGCTAACACCAGGGCTACTTTCATGGAGCAGGAGAAAAAGATGGGATTGGCCGTGTGAGGAAAAGGAAATCCCAAAGACTAAAGGAAAAATCGTGAAGGCCAAAATTTCCCTCTCACCGCCTCCCCCGACACCCACTTCCCCGAAAGCAGAAGAAGGCACAGTGGGGAACAAGACCCCTCAACTCAAGAGCAGCCACTGCAGGAAACCGGGAGGAGGGGAGCTGGGGGGCCCCCCAACCCGCGCACCCCGCCCTTCGGCTGTCCCCCACCACCACCCCCCGGCCGTGCCCTGCGCCAGCTCACCGGTACCAGGCGAGGCCCTTGTCGTAGCTGCGGTCGAAGAAGTGGGGCTCGGCGCCCACGGCGCGCACGTCGGGGTGCACGCGCAGGAACTCCAGCAGAGCCCGCGTGCCGCCCTTCTTCACGCCGATGATGATGGCCTGCGGCAGCTGCTTGCTGCCCTCGTCCAGCAGCAGGGCCAGGGTCCCCGGCGGGGCCTCGGCCACGCTGCTCCCGGCCCCGGAGCCGCCGGGGCCGCCGGCCGGACCGGGGGGCTCCTCTTCCCAGGCCGCCTCCTCGCCGTCGTGGCGCGGCGCGGGCGGCCGGAGTCTCCGCCACGGCTGCAGCTGCAGGAGGCGCTTCGTGTGCGCCGCCGCGGGCCACACCGCCAGCTCCCTCGGGCCTCCGGCCGGGGCGCCTCGCCCCGGGGCCCCCGCCTCGTCGCCGCCGCCCGACGGCCGCACCACCGGGCCCGCCAGGGTCTGGCAGCGCTCGGCCAGGCAGTAGAAGACGTACAGGGACGTGAGCAGGGAGCAGAGCATCAGCAGGAACTTCCGGAAGATGCTGCGGGACAGCGGCTCGGCGGCGGCGGGGTGGGCGCCGGCCGGGCCCGGAGGGGCCATCCTAGCCGGAGGCGACGGCGGGCCGCGCGCGGGCCATGCTAGGCCGGGACCCCGCCGGGTGCCGCGGCCTCCTGCGGGGGGCCCCGCATCGCCCGTGCGTCCGTGCGGCCGTGCGAGCTGCGCCGGGGAGACGGAGCCCCGGCGCCTCCGCGCGGGATCCCTGCGTCCGGTCGAGGGGGCGGGAGGGGGTCGTGGTGCCGTGCTTAAGAAACCATCGTCTTAGACTCGCCCGAGTCCTGAGCCTTGGGGTCGCGCTCGGCGCCCTGAAAGTCGCCCGGAACGGGGGTCCTGGCGGCGGCGTGCGTCTCAGCCCCGGCCCCGAGCGGCCTCTCGGCGCGGATCCCCGCTCAGCGATCGCGCATCCCTCGCTCGGTCCCGCGGAGGGGACTCGAGGCTCCCGGGCCGCGGAGCTCCGTGCGCTGCGGACAGCGGCGAGCGACAGTGCCTTCCTTCGTGCCCGTGGCCACCGGGGCGCGCCCTCTGCGCCCGGCTACGAGGTCCCACCGACTCTCTCCGCCGCAGCGGCAACCAGAGGCCCGCGGCGGGCCGCGCACCCCTCTTGGAGCGCGCCCGGCTGCTCCACGCTGCCCTCGGCCGCCACCTGGGAGCGGCGTGCCGGGGCCGGGCTGCGCGGGACCTGTCGGCGGCCGCGCCACTGCGCTCGCAGGCGCTCCCCCGCCGTCTCCGGGCCGTCGCCGCCGCCACACGCGGGGCGCGGGGGGCAGCAAACTTGGCGGTGACGTCAACGGCCCGGGCCGCACCAGCCCCCTGACGAGCGCAGCGGGGCGGACGCGGTGGGATGGAGAAAAGGTGGCGCGGACCCCGCCGCGTCGGCCCAATGACATCGCAGAGGGCGGGGGCGGCCGGGGCGACGCCCCTTCCCCCCCCCGCCCTCCCTGCCCCGCCGCCGCCTCGCCCCCTTTCCGGCGAGCGGGGGGTCTGCGGGGGCTCCGGGGTAGTCTGACTGACAGCCAGGGCCGGCCGGATCCCCGGGGGCCTGACTTCCACCCGAGCCACCTCGCAGCCTCGGCTCAGCCCTGAGTCCCTCCGAGCGCCCGCCCCCGCCTCTGCCGCCCCATCCTGCCCCCCCCCGCCCCGCCCCCTGCCACCTCCCGGGCCCTTTGGAAGTTTTGTCGGCGGCAGTTGCGGGTACCCGCTGCACGCCACGCCCCCGTCTGTCCGGGGCGAACTGCGTTCCTCCCCGCGGCTTCGACTCGCACCTACTCCACTGTCCGCGGCGGCCCGGGGGCGAAGCCCTTTCGCCCCTGGGCAGTATCTGACTTTGTCTTTCCTTGCGCCTGTTCTGCCTTGTATTAGTTGGCGATGATCGAGAGTTCCCCAGGGCCGAGAAAGGAACAACTTGTTAGGAAATGACCCAATAAAGGAACCAAGGAGAGAAATCAGTTTTAGAAAAAAAATCAGTTCCGATCCCACATCCCTATAAGCAGTTTTTGATGAAGGGATTTTTTTATGTTGTCTGGGGTGGAGTGTGTGTGTGTGTGCGCGCGCGCGTCTCGCCCTAAACAGCGGTTTCCTCTTTCTCTTGCCCCCCCGCCCCCGACCCTATGTCCTCTTCACGCGCTCCTCCGAGAGTAGGTCAGGAAAGGATACAAATCACCTTGCTGTTTAATGGAGGGAGGTGGCCCGTGGACCCCGCATGGGGTGGTTTTTTATTCCGTTTCGATTGGTGGCTGATTTCTTAGCTTCCTTGTCTCAGCAGGACGCCTGGCAGTGTGGGCGGGAGCCTGACCGCGCCGCACCAACCCGTGTAAGTGACACTCGCAGCTTGCTGGGCCCAGTGTAGATGCTGCCCTGTGCCTCCCAAGATGCCCACCGCTGGGACTTCCCAACCTTCTTCTCGCCTGCCTTCCTGCGCTTTGTGCTCTATTTGACCGTGGAAGTGGACGTCAGGGGAATCCTACTAGTAGACCCTTCTGAAGAGCACCTAGTGATTCTAACTCTGTGCGTGGGTGGAGCTGGTGTATTTGTGCCTTTGCTAGACACGGTTTTATGAAGTACCAATCCCACCCTCTTCTACAAAGCAGCCAAGAGCTTCTGAGCTTCTGATGCTTTAAAGCAATGAACTTTTACAAGGATGAACAGCGAGGGGCGCCTGGGTGGCTCAGTTGGTTGAGCCACTGCCTTCGGCCCAGGTCATGGTCCTGGAGTCCCGGGATCGAGTCCCGCATCAGGCTCCCTGCTCGGCAGGGAGTCTGCTTCTTCTCCCCCTGACCCTCCTCCCTCTCATGCTCTCTGTCTCTCATTCTCTCTGTCTCAAATAAATAAATAAAATCTCAAAAAAAAAAAAAAGGGATGAACAGCGAGGCCTGCCAAGGTCTGCTGTCTCTTTGTGTCCTAAAGCTGGATATCGACAAACCAGTTCGGTGTTAATACTGTCTTGAGCTTTAATATATTTTGAAGTTTTTCTCTAGATATCTCAGTCTGATTTGCAGAAGGAAGACATAAAAACAAAGACCATTTTGAAGTGAGGCTGAAAGCCTATGCAGCCTCATAAATGCCAGTAAACATGCCTTGGTTTCCTCCTTGGAGAAATGATGATCTCCACTTTCCCTTCTAGCTCCAACAGGTTACAAGATCATGCATTTATGCTTTCACATTTCAAACACAGGTATTTTCTTTAGGCAGGGGTTAAAGACCTACACTGTGTAGGAGACATGGTTTTAGGATCACTCACAATGTCTAGGGCAGCTGTGCACATCCCAAATAAATTCTGAGCCACAAATACAAGCCTTAAAGGCAACTTTAAAATTTCGAACAGCCACCTTGAAAAAGGGAAAAAGAAACCGGTGAAATCGATGTTAATGATATCTCCGGCATATCTAAAAAATGTGACAATATAAAAATGATCGAGGTCACTTTATGTTCTTTCTTTTCGTATCAAGGCTTCGAAATCTGTGTATTTTACCAGCACATCTTTACTGGGGCTGGCCACATTTCAGATACTCAATATCCACAGGTGGCTAGTGGCTGCCACGCTGGACAGCATCAGTGGGGATGTTATTTTGGTGAGAGGTGTATCTGTCAGTGTCTAATCAGGATAACTCATGGTGGGGGGGGCGGTTATTTAAAAGAAGTGCAATGTCTCAGGCAAAGAGTCAGGAAAAGAAAAATTCTTGACATAACAGCAGGGACGAGGTATGTGGCATTATGTCTGATCATGAGAAAAACATCGAGAAGACTGATTAAAGTCTCTGGATAACATTAGCGAGAGTCATTCTCCACAACTGGTTAGAATATGCTTTGTCTTTGATCCACTCAGATGCATTTATTAGAATGGAGAACAATTGCAGCTAATCATTATTAAATGGGTGCTTTCAAAGAGGAACAGTGGTCATGAAAATACCAAGGAGCACAGTGGACTTCGTTGCAATTTCTTCTTACTTCTCCCTTTTCTCCTGTCCTTCCATGTTATCCTTAAAAGTGATAAGGTTCTGCCGGGAAGAGTTCTTGCTACCATAAAGCTGGTCTTGTATTCAGGGGTGAATAGGTGACGTTGATGTTTGGTGACTTCCAGCTTCTTCTCTCTCCCTAGTGGGTACCCACTCCTGCTCCACCATCCCCACCCAGTGTCCTACCCTCAGGCTTTTCCCAGCCGTGGATCCCATAAACCCATTTGCTCTACTGTACAGAGGATCGCTTAGATGGCTTATCTTCTCTCATGCCCCACCCACAGAGGGTTTACATTTTAGAGTGAGGAATATCTTTACAAATGCCCTTCTCCTACCTGCCCCAGAAGCAAGAATTCGTGCTATTTTAAAAATGTGATACACAGGCGCCTGGGTGGCTCAGTTGGTTAAGCGACTGCCTTCGGCTCAGGTCATGATCCTGGAGTCCCTGGATCGAGTCCCACATCGGGCTCCCTGCTCGTCAGGGAGCCTGCTTCTCCCTCTGACCCTCCCCCCTCTCATGTGCTCTCTCTCTCTCATTCTCTCTGGCTCAAATAAATAAATAAAATCTTTAAAAAAAAAATGTGATACACAATAAAGTATAAAGAATAAAACATAACCCAAATTTCCATTTTTATTACCCAGAGATGACCATGATTAATATATTGGCTAGTTATTTACATATAATCTATGTTATTTATATGTACTTCTGTATAATGCTATATACATAATTTCTCTCTATATAGAGATAGAGAGTTCTCTCTCTCTAGAGAGAGAGGTGGATGTCGGTATATATGAGATAGATAGAGATAATTGTTTAAAAATACTAAGACTTTTTGGCAGTGTGGAGAATACAGAGAGCATCCTTTGGCCACCTGTAATAAGGGACCCATGAATGGTTCTGCTCAATGAATTCGAGTGCTTCACTGGACCTTTTTTTTTTTTTTTTTTTTACCTCCCCTTACCCCAGAAGCCCTCCCTATGGCCCTCCATTGCCCTGTTCCTTCCCTGTCTGTCCCTCACTCCCAGCCCTCCTTCCTTATCCTTCCAATCCCACTGGCCACAGCAACATGGAAGCCAGAGACCCCAGGAGCCCAGTGATGCAATAGATGAAGGTCAGCCTCTTCCTGGGGCAGGAACAGGGGATAAAGTGGATCCAGGAAGGCAGAGTATGTCCCACAAACGGGGAAACAGGAGCCTTAGGAGTTTATAATCTTAATGCGACAAAACACACACACAGTCCTTAGAATGCAAATTTGCATTGTATTCAACTCAAGTACCAGACGTTGTGCTACACATTCTCCAGATTCATCGTCACTGCTTGGTTACACCCTCCCCTTCCTGTCTCAAGGTCTCTGGTGTCTCTACCTATAACACGCATCCCCTTCACCCTTCGGCTATCAGCTGGAACAACACATCTTCAAGGATGCCTTCCATGTCCATCCCCCGCCCCTGCTTTGAGCAAATCTCCTGGCACAGATTCTCCGAGTCCCCAGTAGTTTTCCCTCCAGATTTTATGAGAGTTTGTAATGTTACCATTGCATGCTTATGCTGTGCCTCCCCCTTAGACTATGAGCACTCCACAGAGCCCAAGACCATTGCTCAGTAGCATCACCTGGTGCAAGGAGATGCCCAATAAAGATCTGTGGTTGAACTAATGACCCCAGGGAAGAATGGAGCTGGGCATTCCTGTCTGAGAGTACCTCACAGCAAAGTCAAGTCCAGACAGGGCGCTGTGTGTCGTAAACTGTGTTTCGGCATGAATGAAGCGTGGGCTTGGCCTGGGGAAGCCATTGGAGGGAACCAGAAGTAACACAGAAGTGACGATAGAGAAGAAAGCAGGAACTAGTTGCTGAGGGCCTTGTGTGATTTTCTTGAGAGTCTACTTTTATTGGACATCTGTGGAGATCAAAGGAAAATACTTGCTTTCTTAGGAAGACTTCCTCCCAAAAAAGCTTTCTCGGCAGGGTCAAGACTAGAAGGCAGGATGCCAGCTCAGTGACCGATTCCTCCTAGAACGGAGTCATTGATTGTGACGATCAACAATTAACTAGAGGGGCGCCTGGGTGGCTCAGTTGGTTAAGCGACTGCCTTCGGCTCAGGTCATGATCCTGGAGTTCTGGGATCGAGTTCCGCATCGGGCTCCTTGCTCGGCAGGGAGTCTGCTTCTCCTTCTGACCCT